AGAATTCTTAAGGAGAGATTATGCTGTCCATTTTACAGTATAAAATGTTCTAAAAATAGTAATTAATCGCAAGCGCTGACATATCATCTGATCATTTGATTGTCGATGATGACTGGTTCTCCATTGTGTCAAAAGGCTAGATCTCTATTAAATAAAATTTTTCTTTCGTCTGGAAATCAGTGCATCAGGATATGGATCTATGTCACGTTATCTTCGGCAGACCATGCGCATTTTATTTAAATTTGATTTTGTATGAATGAATAAATAGACGTATTACGCCACCTATGTGATTACGCACTGAGAGTACGGGAATGTGACTGCATAACTCGACTATTCGACTAAGCTAAACTGAGTGGTGACAAGTCCAAAGCAAATCTAACCCCGCCCGTACGGCGGGAATTTTCACGGGTCATTGAATGCTGAAAGCATCTAGGTTAACTAACGGGAAACAGCCGAAACGGTAAGAAAATACCAGCCATAACGGACAGGATTCGGCACCTTCCTCTGTTGACCAGTACAACACAAATTTTTATTCTATGCCTTCGCCTCAGACGAAAGACAAAAGCAACTGACCCAACCCATAACACAAAATATTACAAAATAAATAACAGCTGTAAGAGCTATGCTGTAGATGATCAACCACATGAAACAATCGTATTCAATGACGGTGTTCAGACAAAGTCGTCCGTTGCTCGACCAGTTAGTCTAGGTCGGGGTCAGGAGTAGCCGAAGCGGCACAATGACACATTATGAAATGACCAACAATTGCATGACCAGCGACGACCAAGCCAAATTTGCTCGCGTCTCGCCTGCATTACGGACGGATAGGCCACGGATTACCACCAAACGAAAACGATCAACAGACTTAATGTACAATGGTTTGCGAACCAAATGAACACAGCTTACTTCCATCCACCTACTATTACTGCCGTAACCTATTTCCTTTGCATGTTCATAGACAAAGTAGAAAAACGTGACTTTCACAAAAACTACAAATTATGT